ATTGAAAATTTAACATTTTTTTTAAAGTTCCATGAAGTTTAGATGTGATCGTTAGCGTGTCGTTTGTACATTCTGATGATCTTAATTGAATATTTGAACATCTGACAGATGCTCCACATGGTAAGCGTAAAATGGACGGTTCACTAATCGTTATGATATGAATTGAATTGTTCAAATGCAAAACGACTTTGCAGTGCTTAATTTGATCGAGGTTATGGAAAACCCATATATCTTGCACTATATTGACGATAGCTGGTTGAGAATTAATTGAACGACTTATTTCGCAATCATTCGAAGTAGAAGTGTCAGCTGAAAAAAGCTGTTTCATACAAGGCAAACTCGAAAGAGACACCAATGTTGGTTCTTCTTGACATTGTACAACTTTGGAGAAAGTGCATTTAGATTTTTGCTCGTCATTCCATGTGATTAAAGTTTGACCTATTAGATTTAGATGGGACATTGTTGGGATATTAGTCTAAATATATTTTTTTCTATTAACGACAACTGGTATTGGATGCAAATTATAAACGGTATGTGGTAAAGAATTAAAGGGCGGTGGTCCTACCAATAATGCTCAAGCAATTAAACATGGTGGATGTGGGTTCATTTCTTCATGATGAATTGTTCATTGTCATGGCCTTCAGCCATGATATCATACGGTTATATTTTCTGAGTCGGGATTCCTTGAGCCATGAGCACGAGATGCTTGACGCAGGAGTCTTGACTCATGGGGATGTATATATGTGATGCGCTTTGATGAGAGGGTGTCTTTTTTTGTTCTTCTTTTCCTTCTTTTGGTCTTCCTTCGGGTGTATCGTCCCTTCTTCATCATCTTGGTACTCCCTACTTAGTTTATATTCGGTTCAAATACATTTCCTGGATTTATAACATTCATGAGCGGAGTGCATCCCCTGTTTGAGATATAATCAGATCAGAAATGTCGTTCATTAATTCTTCTTTGCTTACAGAAACATATGGTTTATCAATAGACGACATCAGTGGCGATAAGACTAGAGCAAGTTCTTCATCTCTTCAAAAATCAAATCCAATATGATTTTTCATGATTTGTTCAATCGCGATAGCTGCTGACAGTTTCCAAACATAAGACTTCATATGTTGACTTGCTGCATTATTATCATTCGAGATTATATCAAGAAATTGATCATCGCTGACTTTTACATAAAAATGATCATTGAAGAAGTGAAAACTTGATTTTATGTTTGCCAAAAACTCAACAGATCGAAAACCGACAAAAAAATACACATTTTCGTTAATTAACCTTGAAATATCATTTTTTTTATATTCAGAAACTCAACACACGTTTTGTCTAGATCGCATTAATCTTCCCAATTCAATCATATTTTGTTTTTTTCAGTGCGATGACCCTAAACATATATCCGTTTTTGGCGATGATCGCCATAGATTGTGTAAAGATACCTATGTATGCATAATAACATGATAATTTCAGATATAACTCCCACTTTTCCGCCAACAACATCACTTGGAAATAGCACCATCAGCTTGAGAATGAAAAGATGCATCTAACACAGTCAACTGGACAGTTAACACAAGTCATAGAGCGAATCCGGACAAGAATTATACCCGAGTTGCAGTACTAGGGACAGTATTTGGGACCTAATGCCTCCTTTTTGCCCGATAACACTACTTGGAAATAGTACATTCGGATAGAGAATTTAATTCTGTATCCAAAACACTCGGTTAGAAACTTAACACAAGTTGTAGCCCGAATTTGGACGAGAAATACAAGCTTAATAGGGTACTGGACTCGGTATTTAGGGCATAACACCTGGTTTTTGCCAGATGACACTACTTGGAAATAAGGCCATCGGATAGAGAATATAATTCTGTATCCAACACACTCAGTTAGTAAGTTAACACAAGTCGTAGACCGAATCGGACAAGAAATACACGCTTGATAGGGTGCTGGGTCTGGTATTTAAGGCATAACCCCTGGTTTTGCCCGATGACACTACTTGGAAATAGGGCCATCGGGCAGAGAATTTAATTCTGTATCCAACACACTCAGTTAGTAAGCTAACACAAGTCGTAGACCGAATCGGACAAGAAATACAAGCTTGATAGGGTGCTGGATCCGGTATTTGGGGCATAACACCTGGTTTTTGCCACATGACACTACTTGGAAATAGTCCCGTCGGATAGAGATTTAATTCTGTATCCAACACACTCAGTTAGTAAGCTAACACAAGTCGTAGACCGAATCGGACAAGAAATACACGCTTGATAGGGTGCTGTATCCTGTATTTGGGGCATAACCCCTGGTTCTTCCCCGATGACACTACTTGGAAATAGTACCATCGGATGGAGAATTTATTTCTGCATCCAAGACACTTAGTTAGAAAGTGAACACAAGTTGTAGAGCGAATCCGGACAAGAAATACATCGTATTCGTTATTGTTACACAGAGAATTTATGAGTATTTCGAGGAAAAGTGGTGATTTTCGCCCGGTGACCCTGCTTGAAAGTAGTACCCTTTGATACAGCGGAAAATTTGGCACCCATCACAAGTGCTTTGAGAGTTAACACAGGGAAGAAAGCGAATCCGAACAAGAAATACTCAAATCTGGTGCCAACTTTACTTATGTGCTTAGCATTACTTACGTGCTTAACATACACACACTCACTAAAATGGGTGAAATGCTTTGCTCTTCGTATTTCTTAACTATAGTAATCTAATGTATATCGAAAACAAAGCTTGATGTTATTGACTCATGCGTGTAATTTTTTAATAGGAAAAAACCAACTTGTATGACGAGAGAAAGGAAGAGCAGTCACGATTGAATGCAGAAGCAAAGGGGATATAATGCACATTATTATAGAGAAATACTAGTATTTGCTTGTGTTAAAAACGACAAGAGACAACGTCGAGCAGCAAAGGTAAAAATTGTACAAATACTATTTCTTTCCATTATAAAATAGAATACCCGAGAAAGTTTTTCGATCTTGAAAGGGTTTAGGGTGCTTGTGAACAATCTAAACTTCGCGAAAATGAGATTAGGTTTAATTTTTTGACTTGAAGCCGTCTAATCGGGTGCGAGAATATTTCCTGAATTCTGTTCGATCTCGATAATTCGACCATAAACGCTGAAAATCTCAAAGTATCATTGGCAGCAATTCTCGCCCCTTCTTCAAGGCCAAATCGCTGAGCATAATGTAGATTTGCAATGAGTCTTGAAAACTGTGTCGAACGACAATGGGTCTACACTCTAAAAAAGTCGGTTTATTACCGAACTTAAAAAAAGGTTTAGCAAGCTGCTAAACCAAAAAAGGATCTTCCCCCGGGTACACGGGAAGAACCTTTACTTCTGAAACCTTGTGTAGGTTCCGTAGGCACGAAAAAGGTTTTTCTGGAAAAATTACAAAACGTTGGAGGTTTAATAGAATACCTTAAGGGTTTAATACAAAACTTCCAGAAATTTCAACTAAACCCCGAAGGCTCTTTAGTTTTTCTGCAAAACCTTTTTTTAAGTTCGATAATAATCCCATTTTCTTAAGAGTGTATAAGCTTTATTTGATGATTTTCATATTCGTCACTTCACTATCGTCGTGCTCATTGGATTATTGCGAGCAGATAATGGAAGAATCAACGAGATAAAATAAAGCACAAAGGCATGTTGCCATTCGACGAAGTTTTGCAAACTAACTTCGAACCACACTCTGTGCGACAGTTTGACCTCGACGAAGGGACGAAAATCGTTGAAAATTACATTTTTGAGTTTTTTGGCATTTACAGTCGGATTTTCGAGGATGCAGTCAGAAGCATTTTCTAATTGAGCATAATTCTATGAAAACATTTCTACTATGGATTGTTCATCTCAGATTGTAAAAAAAATCAAAACTCTGTCTCTCTCAAAATTTGAAGTTTTTCCGAGGTCTCTCTGCATCTTTTAAATATCGAAAAGTTCCTATGGTAGTCTTAAAAGCCCTATATGCGGCTTTTGAAAGCGAAAAACCGAGTCTCAGTGGTTCTTGCGTTGTGGAGTGATCATTTTCATTCAGTAAGGCATTTTATTCTGAAATAGACCATAGTCTTCGTGTGAGTGGAATGAGCAAAAGAAATGGAAACAACTAACATGAATTGGAAACAACGATTGAGGCAAGACGAAGAATATAATACACTGAGAGATGAGCGTCAACGATCTGTCTGAAAAACATCATTCGTTCTTTGATGCTGCTTCTTATCCCTTCTCGGATTCTTGTTAAAAATTCATGCAAATAAGAATCTGCGTTTATTCGTAGTTTATTATTTTTTTTCAGAACGATTGACGATGTACCTACGTGCTTCATTACTTGTCATTCTATGGCTGCTTCATTTGCTTTCTGCTGCTGGTCCTATTAAACCAGCCAGCAAAAGCACAAGACGGAGACTTCTTCCAGGTGCCTATATTGTTGAATACAAACCCGAGTTCGCTCGTCTTCATACAAAAGCTCGCGTAAGAATTCTGAATTATCCAGAGAGAGAGAGAGAACTTCGTCATTTTTTTTTGTAGCATGAATTATTCTATCGGCAAATGGCCTTTGAGAAAGCATCAGTAAGTACACGTATGAATCTTTCATCTCCTGTGTTTACGGGTGCTTCATTTTATCTGAAAAATCCTGCGAGTGTCTCTGCTATCAGAGCACTAGACTCTGTAGCGAACATTTGGGCTATATCCATGTATCCGATGCCTAATGCTCGTGTTGAGAAGGTGTTTAATATCTCTAATGTCCCGCGTCAAGTCTCGACTGGACTTCAGGATGACTCTTTTACTCCAAACGTGATGGGAGGTGTGAACAAGTTGCACTCATTGGGCTATACAGGCAACAAAGTGTTGATTGCAATAGTTGACAGTGGCGTAGACTATTTGTAAGACGATAATGCATTTTTACATCCCACCTTCTACAACAAAAACTCTGCCACTTACACATCCTGCACTGGGAGGAGGTTTCGGTCCTGGTTACAAATTTCGATTTGGCTACGACTTTGTCGGAGATTATTACTCTGGAGACAATACTCCGGTTCCTGATTCAGATCCTTACGACTGTAACGGACATGGTACGCATGTGAGTGGTACTATCGGATCGAACGGTCCTGTTTTCATCGGTGTTGCTCCGAATGCCACTCTGAGCATGTATCGTGTTTTCGGCTGTTCTGGTTATACAACAACAGACGTTCTGATTGCTGCCTACGGTGCTGCTTTCAAAAACGGTGGTAAATATCTCTTGGTTCATCTCTTGTTTTTCGAAATGACCCGTTTTCATATGCTTATTATGTAGCTCATATAATCACTGCTTCGATGGGTGGCCCGTCAGGATGGCCAGACGACGCGTGGGCAATAGTTATTAGTAGAATAGTCAAAGCCGGTGTTTCTTGTACTGTTGCTGCGGGTAATGATGGAAACGAAGGTAAGATAATGAGACAATGCAGTCGAAAAGTCTAAATGTCTCTCTGAGAAGGGTTATTCTACGGGTCGTCGGGCGCAAGTGCCATTGGTGCGATTGCTGTTGCATCCATTGACAACCTGGGTTCTCCTGAGCTTGGTTATCAAGGAGAATTTTATGTACAATTGGGACCAAAACTGAATTTTCACTATTTGGCTGGTTTCAATAACTTTCCGAGTACAATATCTGGATACGCATTATACGCTTTTGGGTTGAAAAACATCAATTCAACTGATGCATGTTCACCACTACCATCAGAAACCGAATCATTCTCTGAAAAGATTGTGTTGATTCGTTTAGGTAATTGTTGGATATGGGAACAATTGGATAATCTCAAAAAAATCGGAGCGAAATACGTTATGTTCTATATAAGCGTAGATTCTACAGATTATTGGGATAGTTTCGACGAGACTATCGTCGGCGTAGTCTCGAAACAACAAGGTATAACATGGTTAAGCTATCTTAAACAAGGCCTTAGCGTCAAACTGTACTTCTCTAGCAATCCTCCACCAGGCGTTGTGGATTGGCCGAACACTGACACCGGTGGCAAGATCAGTAAATTTTCATCGTGGTATCCAACAAATGATCTTAATGTCAAGCCCGAAATTGCTGCGCCAGGTGGTAATATTCTCTCGACGTATCCTAGTAATATGGGTGCTTATGCAGTGTTATCGGGAACATCCATGGCCACACCTTATATAGCCGGGGTATTAGCTTTATACCTTCATGCCAAGGGTTTTCAAGAAAAGGTGAATTCACTTGTTCTTAGAGATATCCTTATTACGACGGCAACTCCTGTCTTTTTTAATGACGGCTCGATAAACTATCCAAATTTGGCTCCTGTTGCTCAACAAGGAGGTGGACTTGTTGATGCATTTGCTGCCGTGAAATCGGTTACTCGATTCAGCTTGAGTACAATAGCATTGAATGATACTGCAAATTTCAAGAAACAAGTGAAATTTACCATAACAAACACAGGCAGTGCTACCGTTTCCTATCAACTATATCACGTAAGTGATTCGTCCTTCTTTTGCTTTTAACTCAAATCTAGACATGTAGAGGAGAGCTGCAACGGCCTATGCATTCTCCAAATACTGGAATATACCTCAGCGTTTTCCTCCCGAACTTATTTTACAATATGCCAGCGTTTGGATATCGCCTTCAACTGTGACATTATCAAGAAAAAACAAGACCACAATTACAATAACTTTTACCGCTCCAACGGGACTCAATATTCAACGTATTCCAGTTTACTCCGGCTATATTGCCATCAAGGGAAATAATGGTGAAAGTTTTCAAATTCCTTATGCTGGAGTAGCGTGTGAAATGAAAAAGATCAACCTGATTGATTCGACCTTGTCTGAACCGTCCCTTCACTACTACCTCTTTGAGTTTTATACTGCACCTGTCGTTGCATATCAAACCATTGATCTCAAACTTTACCCACTTATTTATCTGTTTAATCTGGTGATGCCGTCCAATCTCGTACGACTAGATATTCTTGGTAAAGGCAAACAGATCAATGTTGCCGGAGTCAATATTCTTGGCAGTGCTGCTAATTATCCCTATTATTCGTGGCCTCGGAGTAGTAGTGATGAACTGAGTGAAGCTTTTTGGAACGGAACACTGAGTACAGGTGTAAGGGTTCCACCTGGAAACTATTCAATGCTGCTACGGGTGCTCAAACTTTTTGGAAATCCAAACAATGCAAATGACTATGAACGCTGGCAAAGTCCAATGTTCAATATTGTCTACTAAAGACCATCTAAAATCCTTGACTATTTAATTAAAAATTGACATTCATCGAACATAAAACCGCTACTTCTCTTCCTTATTCCAGTTCGACCTTGACGGCGTAATACGCGAACTTCGAAAGCTTTCGAAAAAATTCTAGCGAACTTAATTCGCTGAACAATTTTAGTTCCTTCGATGGCTAATCGAACGCGATTCTATATTACTTTTCTGAATCCTCCTAGTAATCATAGAGAGGGTTCATGAAGCGCTCGCATCTAAGAACTAACCTCGTCAAAGTCAAAATGTTAAACATTGTATCTGTGGAAGTATTTTAACTGAACATAATATTTAGTTCTCTCGGTATATATTCGATGTCTTTTTTCCAGCTTTTCTTCTCTTTGCTTGATATTTTTTGCTACTAATCTGTCTCTCGATTCTCAATAAAAAGCACTACTTACCTGCTTGCAATCTTCTTCATTATGCTCAAGCACAGAGTATCGAAAATACTATTTATATAAATGTGGAAACCTCGAACCTAAGTCCGAGAGTTATGTGTACTTCAAAAAGTGAATGAGACAAATCAGTCACCCTAGAATGTGCGGATATACAAATTAGCTTGAAAAATCTTTTCTATAAACACTTGAATTCTATTGACTACTGCTCAATCGATAGGATTTGGGGGCGAATACAGCTCAGATTTGAACTCGTCGCCTTAATTTACCCTCAGAAAGTCGTTTTTTCTATAACTTGATTTCTATTGGCCAGTGCTCAACTAATAGGGCTTCGAAACAAATGGAGTACAGATTCGAGTTCTCCATCCCAGAAAATCTTCAAGCATCACCTCTTATCGGAAGATAGTGCTCTAATGGTGGATCAGTTAGAGCGTGGACAAGAACAGAACCGATTTCCGTTTATTTATCTTTGCAATAGGTGAGCTAGCCTTCTTATTTCTTTATGTTTTATATACCATTTGGGAGCTCGTAAAATTCTCTATCGAATGGTATATAATAGTTGGAGTTTTGTTTGAGTATGATAGGAAAATTTTTTTACGAAAACGGGGATGGGTCGATTTTCACATAGAAAGCCATAGGGAAAAATGAGTATTTTTGCAATAACTCAGGAATGGTTCGGCCAATTCTTCTCATCTTCGAACTCGACCGAGATATTGTTAAGACTGAACTGTGTAGAAAATTTCATCGCGATCAGACTCTCCTTTCAAAAGTTATCGTGTAAATGGACGGCCGGACAGACATACTGACCGATTCTAGAGTGTACTCACTTTTTGAATACACAAAAAAGACACATGTGAGTCTGGTTGTGTACGCGTCTCTGTATGGATGTGGATGCGGGTTGTGAGTGGGTGGCTGTATGGGAGTTTGGCTTAGTATGAGCTTTCTGTTCATTCACACTCACATCGTACACCAACAATGTCCACTCACACTCATAGCCAGCACAAGTGACAAGAAACATTGGGGATATACATTGCCCTAATAAATGAAAATAGTGCAATTTAGAATAGTCAAAAGAAAATATCCTTTTATTCTATATGTTTGGTTATTAAAACAAAAGAAATGAAATGATTGAGCAACTTATTTAATACAATCACACAATTGCATTATTTTCAAAACCGAAGCCTCAACTTGTTTTCAACTAACTTCAGAGTACAAAGGGCTATCGATCTGTGTTTTCTGCCATCATATAAGACAAACCGAATGATGAAAGCAAAATTCTAGAACTTCTGTAAATCAAGCAAGATAATTATTGATTAATATCCGCGAAGATTTTCAAAATTCATCAATAAAATTGTATCAATTTATTCATCATTAGAAAATAAATCAGATATTCTTAATTTTAAATTGAACAATTATGATAATCAAAGTAGTCTTTACAGTGGTTATTTATTAAAGATCGTATGTCAATTATTTCATTCCAAATCCTTCATACAATTGTAATACTAATGCAACTTCATAACGTAGGGTATCTTAGGACAGAATTCCAGTATTTCCTGACACGAGTGGGTATGGTGGTGTGGGTATGGGGTTGGATGTAGATGTGGATGCGGATGTGGGCATGGGTGCGGGTTTTTGAGTGGTTGTCAGATGTGGATCTTTTTCTTGCCACATCTACACCCACACCCCACCCACCCACACCCACACCCACACCTACCCTCTGTCTGCAATATTTTCAATGGTAATCAGGAATACTGCTACTAATCATGATCTGTAGGTGCTTCATTCTTTTAAATTAATCAATAATGGTGTGAAGAAGAAGTAGAATGCAGTCCAAGCAGTTTTTGAATTCATGGATAATTTTGTTAAAAATAACTGATAGATAATTAGACGAATTCCGAGCATGAACTGGATAATGTAGAATACCAAACATTTCATAGATTATCTTTTAATAAGAAATTTATAAGTAATAGCTAAGTATAGTTTGTTCTATTACGATTATAAAAATTACTGACAATTATTAAGTTTATATCAATACATATATGAATTATCACCAATACTATGGATTATCTGTATTTTGATGTCTTGTCACATTTTATACTTCTGTATGTAAAAAATGTAAAAGTATAAGCAAGTACGAACTACAGTGTATGTTTATTATAAAGAAGTGCTAATTTATGCATATAAAAGCTCGTTAGATATATAAAAAATAATTTAAAATAAAAATGTTTTTATATAAACATTTTATTTAAGTTAATTCAAAATACAAATTCTGATGATTTAAATTCAAGAATCCATTTAAATTCCACAAATTTTTACTTACTTGTGAATGTAAAATACGATAATTCAAATAAAAACTGAATAAAATCATGATATTGAAAAATTTATTTTCTTTTTGATTCAAAATAATTGTTACTCTATTTTGAATATAAATCAACTATTTCGAGGGTATGAGGTGCGTGGGGTGTGGGTGTAGGTGTAGTTATGGCTGTTCGGTGTTCGCGTGGGTTGTTCTGTAGTGGTCACTGTGCACCGTCGACCTGTGAGTAATAATTACAGTTGCTACCAAAGATATCTGTGTAGAATTAGGTGTGCAGTGAGTATGCTTGTCCGAATGTATGTGGAGGTGAAGAGAAGAGCCATATCTACCCATATTCACAGCCGGTTATGAAACTGTAGTTGTTCCGTATATGACCCTTTACGAGAACCGTTAGTAAGTAACTAGACTCTTTTTCTGCTATGGTTATTGTAATTTTTATAATGAGTCGGAAGTAGATGACAAGACTGACTCACTCTTACCAGCTACCAACGTCTTAACAACCCACTATAAAAATGACAACAACAAGAGAAAAGGAAAAGAATAGAAAGCTTGAATATTCTACTAATTGTAATTTTCTGTCGATAAAGTTGGAAGAATGAAGGATCGACTTCTGACACATCACAGATACGAAAAAGAATTTTGTATATTAACTAGAAAAACATTTACTAATCACTGAAAATTAATAATTTAATTATGGCCGTGCTTAACAATAATGAAGCAACTTTTAACGAAACTCATTTCCCGCAAAATACATTAAATAATTTTATAGAAACAATTAGATTTTCTGAACCGATATTGCTTAACCAACCAGCATAATTTTGGCTCTATCGTACCTTAGATGATTTGCGTCATAAGTGTTGTCCAGCAGTTTACGTTGAAGGCGCTAAACAATGTGCATCATTAGAATTTAAAGTAAATTCGGTATAATTTTTAAAATATTCTTATATTGAATAATTGCAGCTTCCAGACAATATAAAAGAATATCAACAAGAATTTTATCTTGGTGCTCATATGGTAACATATGACAAAAAAAAACATGGCAGTAGATTCATTATGCCGATAAACATAGGAGTCCAGAAAGGACTCAACTTAAAAACAAATTACCTCAGTTGTTTCGAAATTCTTAATAGACAAAATAATGATGATGAATTTGATCTAAAAACAAAAGGTGTTTTTTCAAAGATTAATCGAAAATTGCCTATAAAAAGGTGAAATTTTTTATCAAAACCATTTCAGATCTCATGTATTTGTTATAGATGGACTTTTAGAATGATTAACTTATACCGAAGTAATATTATCATCGAAACATTAATCGAAAATAAAAAGCTCAAATGATATAGATTGATGTTTGTTATTCATATTAAATTATCTAACGGTCAATTCGAACGTGTTTCACCACCAATATTTTCAGATCTTATCGAAGCAAGTATGATAAGTGAAAACTTATTTTCCCTATACTATTTTAAATTCGTTCTATGGTAGTTTTCGGTATTCGTTCAGATGAAATTGATCGTTTTTTTCCAAACCAACTTTGCGAAAGAGATTGTCAAATGATATTTATCCGACTTAATGAAAAAGTGGAAAAGCGTGGTATTTTTGTTTGTTTTATCTTGATAGCCAAAATTCTATTTTTCATTTCTTCTAGACTTACGTATAACATGCAATGGTAAAAACCTTAGTGATAAGGATTTTCAAATCGCGAAAACAATTTTATCTTTTGAATCACCTGCATGTATTCAAGATAAAAACAATCTTCATGTACAGTCGATGTCCCCAATAAGAACAGACTTTTTAGAGGTGTCAGTAATTTGCTTTTTTACTGATCAAATTTTTAAAATTATAAAGTTTTTTTACATTTCTGGGTGTAGAAATGTTTGCTGCATCGAATGATGCAAAAAATATTTTATTATCTCGTAAATTAAACCTATAATTAGCGGTATTTTACGAGTAATTGAATTTGTTCTTATTAGGATCTCTGTTCCTAGTAAGAACAGACCATATAAAATATATGGGAAAAAAAAGTTTTTTAGTAAACGAACTTTTTCTAATTTGAACTTGAAAATATCGATATATTTCTGAGACAAAAAGTTTTTGTTATTAATCATGGAGTTAAGATTTCAAGGTTCAGATTTTTTTGATTTATAATAGCAGAGTTATTAAATTTTAAAAAATAACTCGTCTGTTCTTGTTAGGAACGCTGTGCCCAATAAGAACAACCAGCGAAAACATGTTCCTAATAAGAACAACCTATATAAATTACACAGAAAAAAAATGTTTTTTAGTAAATAAACTTTTTCCCTATTTAAACTTGAAAACTTTTTCATGTGTCCACATAAAAAAATCTTTGTCCATTAATGATACATTAACTTCCAACGGTTCAACTCGAAAGCATCTATCCTGTGATGAGTCTGATAATATCAACGTTAGCGTTGGATATTTTATTTTCGATTGCACTCTAAAAAAGATTTTCGAAAGCGATTTTGGTTGGCTCGATTCCTTTATAGATTTCTTTCGTTAGATAAAATAGAATCACAACAATAAACTACTGAAATTAATTTATATCGCATTAAAAATTATTTTATTTTCAATTGGCAGTATTGTGTTGAATTACACTCTTATCAGATCGCACTTATTCAAGTATTTAGACACATCATATTGATATAGTGGAGAATCATGAGAAGAGCAAATTTGTCTAAAGAATATTCCACAAAAGCTATTGATGAACGTAGTAAGAGTGCATATTATCTGCAA